CCCTGGGATATTTTGTGAGTGGGTTGATAGTACTAGGTGAATTGCCTGGGCTCCACAGGTGCTGAATGAAGAGGAAGGAGGAGACTGACTTCTGAAGGTCAAAGTTGACGAGAGAAAGTTCTTGATCATAGCTCTGCAGGCTCTGTTGATTCATAGGTCCTGCTGGCCTGTTTCCTGGCTTTTCTCACTAGCTCTTGACCATCAGTGGAACACGTGTCAAGCCAGCCAGGAGATCACAGGGAACGATAAAATACTAATAAACAACCTGCAGGAATACATAGAGGATTTTGAATCTTGTTACCCGAATAAATGCAATATGATCCAAGTTACTGCTGAGATGGAAGCTGAGTCTCTTAAGATGTTAAGTAATGTCCCTCAGGTTGTACTGTCTGTATATAGGCGACGTTGGAAAGGACCCTTTTAACCTGTCAGGATCTAAACCATGTATTCTCCCTCTCATGTCCTGCTGGTCACCTGCCACAGCTCCGGTATTAAGCTAAATGTATCCAAAAAGCTTTGTTCCTTTAATCTTCCAAACAAGGTAGGTACTGTTCTGCTTCTTTATTCTATACTCTTTCTCTCACACTCTTATTAGATTCTAGACTTATTGCTCACAGTTCTCCAAACACATGCTCATGCCACAAGCCTCAGATCTCTGTGCATTCTGCCTACAGGTCCACCAGGAAGGCCTAGTCTACAAAGAGCAGCCTTGGGAAGCTCTGTTCCTCCCTTTCCCCTCACCCCAGGTAGAAATAATTGTTCCTTATCAGCTCCACACTTCCTCCACCACTGACTGAATTCCTTGAGGGTGGGACAGCACCTTAGATTTTGAGACTCAAAAAGCCAAAAGAACTTATTGCTATTGAGTCTAAACTGACTCATGGCTGACCTTCCACTGGGCTTCTGGAGGCTGTAAATCACACAGGAGGAAATTGCTTATCTTTTTCCCGAAGAGCTTCTGGTGGATTTGGACCACCAGAGAGGTGCCAGTTTGGGTTAGCAGTGCAGCTTCCTATGGACAACACCACCAGAGCTGCCTGAAAATATACAGAAGGATATCACAGAATAGATGTTCAGTAAATTGCTTTTTTATTTAATTGAACTTTTAACAACACTCCCCCCCCCTTTTTTTTAATCTAGTGATCTTTATGTTTGAGAAGTGGCAATGTTGTAATAATTTTCCATGAGTTGAAATGGGTTTTGATGGTAACACAGGCTTAATTTTTAATTCCAGAGTTAAAAAGACTGGGTGCCTGCCCTGGGTGTGTACTTCTAAATATAATGGAGGCTGCTGGACATCACCAGAAATTGCTTGAGTTTAAAATTTGGACTTGCCCCCCTGCCAATCTGATTTGGTACAGGTGATTAGAGGTCTCAAACTTGCTTCTGGGCTTTGCAGCCCAAGGAGCCCCAGGATGTTGGCAGCAGGAATGTCCAGACCTGCATTCTTTCTCCCCAAGTGTGCTTTGTAGGTTTTCTTCAGCCTCTGTTTCCTTCTCTTCTCTGCGGGCTCAGAAATGAGTCAGAGCATGTGCAGCGTGGGCTTGTGGGGGCGGCGTGGAGCCTGGAATTAGCTGCATTTCAGCAGGGCTGCGGGGGGTTCTGGGAGGGGTGCACAGCGCAGAAGGGTTGGTTGATGATGTTCTAGGCTGAAGACACAGTCATCTGCTCTAAGCTTGAGCAAGAGCTGGATCTCAGGGCCCACCAGACGCTGGGGAGTTGCAGGTACTTCATGCCCCAAATATGCCCATTTTGGATGAGCAGACCTTCACCCATAACTAGTGTGATCCCAGCACACCTGAGACCAGCATGGAAACAGGGCAGAAATGGCCAAACCTCACTGCGGGTTGAGGAGTGGCTGGTAGATGTGGATATTAGCATACCCCATCAGGGGTCTCGCAGTGGTGGCCAGTTTATGGCCTTTGTCGGCCTGCAGCTCAGCCAGGTAGGCAGAGCAGACTGTAGTTTAATCTGCCACCTGCCAGTGCAGCCTCCTTCCTCTTCACCTGTCTGATGTTCTTTTACTCTTTACCAACTGCTTTTTTTATTTGAAGGCAGGGAGTTGTTAGGATGGGTATTTTAATAATGTATAAAGTTGTTTTATTCACCCTTGCTCCTTTTTCTGCTTTCCCCAGTTACCTTTTTATGCTCTGTCCCCATCTCTGGCACAGGTGTTACTCAGGATGCCAGTGGCTGTCACCAGAGAAACCAGGACAGCACAGTGCATCACTCCCTCTTCCAGTCAGGGCAAACCCAAGCACAAGCTTCATGCTTCCGTGGTAGGGAGAGGCTGGGCACTCATGTCACTGTAAATGAGTCAGAGGGGTGGGACAGTAAAATATTTAATCAGCTTTGTGTCAGTACCATCTTAAGGATAAAACCCATTTTAAAAGGTTTGGCTATGCATTGTAAGCATGCAGTGTTACCTCTGTGGTATTCCCGTTGCTATGTGAGACACATGCTAAATAGAGTGATTGTGTTCTTGGGGTTTTGTGGGCTTAATCATATGACTAGAACAACTTGAGGAAGGAAACATCATAAGCACAGCTACCCAGGGTGGCTTGGCTTTCAGGCTCAGCCAGGTCATTCCTACCTGGGCTTGGTCACCAGGGTGTGGGTTGAGGAGGTCATAGCAGGCTGGCTTCCAGAATGTTGCCAGGTGTGCCAGTGGCACCCCTTCCTGCAGCAGACTTGGCCGTCCCTGTACCCACAGATGCCTTCCCTTTCTGCCCTGACACTGATGGCCTGATTTCTGTTTTGTCATCCAAGGCCACACTGATCACCGCATTCAGAATCTGCTCAGGAGCAGTAGATTGGCTGTCTCCAGGCCAGCTATGAGAAGGGGAAAGCATGTATGGGTCATGAAGTACTTCTTATCTAGGAATGTCTGAGGCAGTAGCTATGCTGCAGCCAGCTTTGTCCCACCAGTGCCACCTTTAGTGTTTTGCACACAGAGAGCATACAATAGCTGTCTGTGGACTTGCACACTTTATGTGTCCTTCTGCTGACACCTGTACCAGGCCCTGGGTGTGTTGTGCAAAGTCACATGAGTCTGAAGAAACCTACTCAATTTATACAACCATCTGTTCTTGTAAAGTCCAGCATGCAATACACAGCCTTATTTGGACCTTACATCAACTATGAAGTGGACAGAGCAAAAATTGATTTGCTTCTTGGAAAGAAAAAGAACTGGAGGCTCAGAACTACAGGTGTTAGGAGCCTATTCATGGGTCTCTCACCCACTTCTCAGTTCAGCACCCTGCCCAGATGTCTGATACTTGCCTGACATTGTCCTCTTAGGTCCCATTTAGTACTAATTGATGGAGGGATTGCACTGTTGACCCTCAGACTGCTAACTCCTGGAGTAAGAATAGATCTAGTGCCAAAAATGACTTTCAAGCAAAGATGAGGTAGAAGAACTAGATCAATGGAAGTGGAACAACCAGAACCTAAATAATGAGTATATTCATGTGCTGTGGAGAACGTAACCAGTATCACTGGACAACTTGTGTAGAAATTTTTCAGTGGGAACCTCAACGGTTGTCTGAACCTTCCCTGAAAACACAGTATACCTTTTTTTTTTTTTCATTCTAGTACAGCAATTTAATTGGATACTATGAACAATGGTGTATACAGACAGGCAGGATCTTCTGACACGGAATGATGTTCAAACTATTACATGAAAAAGGCAAGTTATTAAAAGAGTACTGCATGATCTCACACTTGAAAACCCTATGTTGTTGCTATTAGCTCCTTCTCACAGAAATCTTACGTAAAACAGAACGAAGCAGGCCCGGCTCTGTGTTTTGGGAAGATCACAGTCTTGAGTGCCTTAGGAAGCAGGCCCCCTCTGCACTCAGGGGCTCATCATGAGATGGGATCAACTCAAGAGCAACAAACACCAGGTTGGCTGCAGAGCTCTTTCCAACGCCTTCTCATCACTGGGGGAGCCTTTCAAATAAGTTTCAGGGTGATAAACGAAGGAGACAGTCAGAAAATAGATGCAAGGAATGGACTGAAGATGATATTTAGTCCTTATTTCAATTCTAGACCTCTTGAATCTTAGAGATGATGGATCTCTGAAAACAGGTTGTAAAGATTTCTCATAAGATGGTGTGAAATGACAGAACAATTGGAAATCATGTTCAAAGTTAAACAAGTAATCATGGTACATCAAACGGTGAGGGCAACTCCACAGTCATAGAAAAAGGGGCATCTGAATGGAAAGTTTGCTTTCTGGACTGTTGTCATGATTCTGATTGAAAACACAATGCTCCTATTCATACAAGAAGTCTTTCCTAACAACAAAGGAAGAGAGTTACTTGTTCACATGCAACAGAACTACACACTTAGGTGTAATTTGGAGTCACTGTAAGATAAATCTGATTTTCAACATACCAGTGAGGAACTAATACAGAAAAATATCATCAAGACTTGAAGAGAAGTGGGGCCAAGTTCATCTTAACAACACACTGTCACTATCATGATGTTGGATAATGTTTCACACATGGTCCACAGTGATGTTTTTTATGACCAGTGGTTTAACCACTGTAGGTACAAGGTTAGTCATATAACAGTCATTCTCAGACCCTTTTAACCTTTCTTGAATGAGAGAGAAAAGGGTGGTAGTTTAACTATCAGCACATGAGTATATCATCTGTCATGTGTCACTGTGGCTGAGAGGTTGATGCAGCTCTCCTCGAGCAAGAACCAAGGAGGCCCCGGGGAACATGGAGCCCAAGAGCGGAGCACCAGGGACGAGAACAGATTTATGCATTGTCCCAAAACTGCAGGAAAGGGAGATGAGGAAACGTGATGCAAGCTAAGCAAGAGGCATGCACTTGAGGATGAATCCTCTGCATATTCCAGTGGGCCTGCTGGCACTCATCATTTTATGTTAGTACAAAGAAGACCGAGGAACAACTGCAGCAGGTTAAATACCAGTTCTTGTGGGGAGCAGTTTTTACAGCTGGGGGTAGAGCTGTGGCCCTTCCACTCAGTCACGCATGGGAAACCCGTTCCAAGGCCACATAGAAACTGTTCTTGTCATCTAAACAATGCCAACCAATTGGTCCGATTTCACAGTCTGCGCAGACCAGGAACGTGATGTTGCCCACGTCCTTGGTGAAGCCCACGTTCTCAAAGATGAACATGTCATCAACCAGCCAGTGTTCCTGGAGGAGATCGCCTTCAGGGTTGCTGCCATCTGCCAGTGCTGGCTTCTTTCTCAGGGAGGGAAGGAAAAGCTGTCGGCGGGAGAAGAGCGCGGTCCCCGGCTGCAGCACCCGCGAGCCGCAACGCTGGCACAGCACCGCCTTCCGGTTTCGGCCCTCGGCTGACACTAACTCGTTCTGCTGTTCCGCCGCTTCCATTGCGGCTACCACCACAGCCTCCAGGCCCACCACTGCGCAGGCGTTGTCTGCTGGGGGATCTCAACTGCGCTGGCGTGGCTCTCACAGTATACCTTTTTTACAAAATAATAGTTCAAGAGGTTGATCAGTTCCTGTGTTTTACAAATCTGAATGTTGATACAAGAAAGAATGTAATCTGTCATAGATTCAATACTAGAAAAAATTATTCTGAAAGGGATTTGTCAAGGTTTACAATGGTTGGCTTACAGGGTTTGTCCAGTAGTTGTATAGTAGCCACTCTAACAGTGAAACTTCTGAGATCTAGAAGGTTATAGTCTACGTGCCATATTTTAACAGTTGTAGGTATATTTAAAGACACTTCTTAATCTTTCTATAAAAAGATATATTGGGTTTTTTCGCTTGTTTTTCTTTCTCTGTGCCCAGTGAGCTCATTAGAACCTGAATCCTGAGCTGTACCTCTCTCCTACCAAGAACTAATACTTCTTGTTGCATGCCATCGAGTTGACTGCGAGTCACAGTGACCCTATGCACAGTAACTCTGAACTTTGCCCTATCCTGAGCCAGTCTCACTGTCTCCCACACACCTGCCTCCATAATCTCAGTTACTATGCTGATCCATCTCATCCAGGGTCTCCCTGTTCTGCATTGTCCCTTTACCCTTTCAAGCATGATGTCCTTCTCCAAGGACTAGTTAATCCTGGCAGTGTACTCAAAGTATATGAGATGGAGCTTCAAAATCCTTGCCTTCAAGGAGCAACCTGGTTCCACCCTCTCTAGGACATATCTGTTTGTTCTCTTAGCAGTCCACGTTATGTTCAGTGCTCTTCTCCAGTGTCACAACTCAAAGATTCAGATCTTCTTCTCTCATCCTTAGTCATTGTCCAACTCTCTGATGTATAGCAAGTAATTGCAAAGATCATGGCCTGGATCAGGTGCACATGAGTTTCTTGTTTCTAGCTCAGGTTCTGAGTCTTCAGAACATTGATCTGGGAAACAAGGAACTTCTCAGAATATTATTTCAGAGAAGATGCTGCAGTTTGCTCTTCTCAGGAGAGATGTGGGGTGGCCTGCCTGAAGGTCAGTTAGAGAAAGAATGACATTTGCTTCATTCTAGTAGAAGTAGCTAACAGAGGGTACACAGAAGAAAGTGACACAATGGATAAGATGGTATTTCTAACTAATCACGTTGTGTTATGGAGCTCTGGTGGCTTGGTGGTAAGGAGTTTTGCTGCTAAACCATAGGCAGGTTGTTGGAATCCATCAGCTGCTCTGTGGGAGAAAAAAAGGTTCTCTCCCATTTGATTTGCAATCTCCTAAAACTCACCTGAGTGTCAGCTTTGAGTCAGTTCCAACTTGATGGCACATAACAATATGATGTGTTACTTACTGAGCTGAGGAGTTGAGAGTATTATTTCAGACAAGGGTCTCATATCAAAAGTTTACAGAACCTACAAGACCTCCACAAGGAAGAGACTTATAACACAATGACAAAATGGGCAAAAGACATGGGAAGAATTTTCACAGAGGAATATATACAGATGGTCAACAGGCACATGAAGAAGTGCTCCAAATCACTGGCATTAAGAGAGATGCAAATAAAAACCACAATGAGATACCATCTTACTCCATTTGTTGTTGTTGTTTATTGCCACTAAGCTGAGCACAACTCATAGCGACCTTATGAACAAAAGGCCTGAAGCCTTTCTATAATTACCGTCATTTCTCCAAGTGCATAGTTTTCAGAGGCATGTGGTTTAGGAAGTGGATGCCACTCCTGCTTCTAAGCCTGTTTTAAGCTGGAGCTCTATCAAACACTGTCCCTGAATTTGCCACATGAGTAAAAGCGGCAAATTTTAACAGGACAGCAAGTAATAAATGTTGGAGAGAATGTGAGATAGGAACTCTTATACATTGTTGGTGGGATTAAAAGATGGTACAACCACTATGGAAAGCAGTTTGGCACTTCCTCAGAAGGTTGAAAATAGAAATTCCATATGACCAAATGCTTGGAATATACCCCAAGAAAATGAGAACTGAGGCACAAATGGAGACATGTCCACCAGTGTTCATAGCTGCATTATTCACCATCCATTGCAAGAACATGGAAACAGCTCAAAGTCCAACCATAATTGAATGTATTAAGAAATTATGGTACATTCACACTATGAAATTCTATGCAACACACAGTAGTAATGATTTTGTAAATCACTACCTAACTTGGGAAGCACTGGAGAGCATTATGCTAACTCAGTCCCATAAGGAAAAATACTGTATAAGACTATTATTGTAGAACATGTATGAAGATCAAGGGAGGGGCAGAGGGTTGAGGATGGTTACGGGGGTATGTGTGGCTAATCATTGGGTCATACAATTTGATAGTTAGAAAGAGGAATGGGTAAAGGAAATGGGAAAGATCTAGTGTGGAAAAACAATGTATATAAACTTTGTAAGTAAACTAGTATAAAATAAAAATTTTCTTAAAAAAATAAACAAAAACCCCACATGCAACAATGAAAATGTTTGTTTTGAGACAGTATGCCCCGATTCTTTTGTATATAGAAATTTGCTTTATTTACCAAACTCAAGGGGAGAGGGAAGACAAATGTAGAAGTTTCTTTCTCCAAAATTGTTGTTGTGTGAATTCAGAACAATTCCATGCCCAGTGGACTGAAACACAGCCTATTCTTTCACCACTTATGTGATTGGTTTAAGATTGGATGCTATGAGCCAGAGGGATTTCATTGGTTATTTCAGAAAAACCCATTTTTAGAAATAGATTACCAGGCCTTTCTTTCTCGTCTGTCTTAGTCTGAAAGCTCTGTTAAAACTTGCTCACCATCATAACATCTGTGTAAATCTCCACAGGAAGATGGTCGATGTGTGTGAGTTGTATTTGCCAGGAATTGAACCATTTTCTGTTTAAAATGCCACAGCCGTTGAGTCTATTCTGACCTTATAGGAAAGAATCAGGTCCTACAGATGTTTTCTAAGACTTTGAAAGTAAACTATTTCATCTTTCTTCCACCGATTCCTACCATTTACTTTTTGATTAGGAATCCAAGCAATAATCCACTGTGCTGCTAGGAGACCTTGACTTCTATATAGAAAACAAGAATTCTACCAACAAACCACTATTTCTTTGTAAAATGAAATTACCCCTTTAGAAAGCTGCACAAGTCCCACTACCCCATGCCTTCTGTTGTTGGCATGTCTCAGTCTTATCAGTAACCCTTTGCCACTCCTGCTGATCAGCTTTGTACCTCTGTACAGGCTTTGTGAATTTGCAAGTGGTACAGGAGCAGGATTCTTCCGGCCAAAAGGAAGGAAACGAGGGAAAAAGAGCAAATGGGCCAGGTGGATTGGGGCATGCTAACAGATGGAGACAGGGCTCTGTTCCCAGGGCAGGCCCACAGTTCTGGCATCATATTTCATTGAAGCCTTAGAGTAGGCAGGTCAGCAGCAGGAATGTGCAGGAGAGGAAATTCCCCTTTGTCCAGCCAATTGTTTGCTCAAGTCCTGCCACCTGACAGCTCAATTAGTTTGTACTTGTAGATTTCACTAACAGCAGTCAGATGGACTGTTGTTTGAGTCTGGGTTATATAGAAGCATTTAGAACCTCCCCTGAGATCCTCTAATAATAATGAATGCCTTTTCAGATTTAAATAGGGATTTTTCTATAACTACTCATTCTCTTCTTACAAATTATGACAATAATATTGCACTGCTGTTACATATAAATCAGAAGCACTCGGACCAACATAATGAAAATCACTTTAGGAACCAATCTGGACTCCTTGAGAAGCTTGGGGAACTGAATGCAAATCATAAGGAACATTTAAAGATTTTCTACTACTCTTTAGGGCTCTGGAAAACATGAATCTAATGGTGTGCACAGAACCTTAACCACAAACTGCCTGGCAGTTCTCTGGCAATTTCCTCCTGACATTTCTCTGCAGAGTCCTTACAGAAATCTCCAGGGGAGAATAGATTGTCTGAAATGCTGATTCACTATGTGTAGCTTGTCATCAGGACACATTTATATGTCCTCAACTCTCAATGTTCATATTAGGCTCAGAAAGAGAGGGTTGGGGAAGACAGATTTTGAGCAGTGTGTTTTTTCAGAATCTTTAGGATTCTCCTGATTGTTGTTGTTGTGTGCTGTCAAATTAGAACCAACTCATGGCTGACCGTCCAGCAGGTTTTCAGAGGCAGGAAATCCTTTATCCTGATTGTGTTGTTGTCATTGTTGTTATGTGCCATCGAGTTGCCTACGACTTATAGTGACCCTATGTACACAAGCTCTAAAGCTGCCCTATCCTGCGCCAATCTCATCATCTCTAACAGACCTAATCCCATCTCATCTCATTCTGGGTCTTTCTCTCCTATGCTGTTCCTCCCCCCTTTTAAGTATGATGTCCCTCTCAGGAACTGGTCCCTCCTGGCCGTGTGACCAAAGTATGTGAGATATAGCCTCAAAATCCTTGCTTCCAGAGAGCAACCTGGTTTTATCCTCTCCAGAACGATCCTGTTTGTTCTCCTGGCCGTCCATGGTATGTTCAACATCCTTCTCTAGCACCACAACTCAAAGGCATCAGTCCTTCTATCATCCTTAGTTGTTGTTCAGCTCTTTGATGCATAGCAAGTAATTGTGAAGACCGTGGCTTTGATAGGTTCCCCTTATATTGTTGCTCTTCAGTACTCTGGAGAAGTCCCTGACAGCAGACTTTTCCAGTGCAGTTCACCTCTTGATTTCTTTCTTGACTACTGGTGCCAAGAGTGTTGATTGTGGAACTAACCAAGCTGAAGTTAACAATCTCAGCCTCTTCTCTGTCCATCATGGAAGTTAGTTTTAGTATAGGGTACTCTGGTGGTCAGTGGTAAGAAGCTGTGCTGCAAGTATAGAGAACTCTGGTGGCCCATTGCTAAGAAGCTGTGCTGCAATCTTGAAGGCATGAGGTTCAAATCTACCAGCTGCTTTGCTGGAGAAGGATGAGCAGTCTCCTCCAATGTGATTAACTGCCTCTAAAAGCATGCTGGAGGGTC